ATTCAAATTTAATTCCATCCATTACAGTAACCCACTTGTAACCTACTGTACAGCAGAGCGACATACACGACTTACCCGCTTTTTTAATTTTAAGTTTGAGGTGACGGATGTGTATCAATTTATACGGACGCGAGAATTAAACTATTATTTACTAGCTGAATTACCCGTCGTTGCCAGATTTATTAATTGTTGTTATATCTAGTAAGATTAAATATTGTCTAGTTAAATTAAATTTAAATAAGATTGTTTAAAAAAATATGTCATATTATATTAATTGTTTAAGAAGCTGATTTTTTATCGTTAATATAATATTTCTCTATAAACAACATTAGCTTTAATCCCTATTGGTGCCAAAATAACTAAACTCGTGGGGGTACTGACTCTGGAGCATGTCACATACAATTGGCCATGTGAAAAACAATCTTCTCTTATTATATCGATCCCTGCAAATTTCAAGGTTTTCAAGGCGAGAATTAAACTATTATTTATGACAAGTTTCTATGTTTTTAGTAATTTATTCAAATTCTTGTTTTTAAAATATTATTCATTGTATRATGAAGAAGTTAAATAAATTTTTCTATCCAAACTTTTTTAATATGAATCATCGTTTGCTGTCAATTTTTTTTCGATATTATTTAAATTTATTTAACCAGGTTATTAAATATAATATAATTCCACGTTTCATATTTAAAAAAATTTTTTTTTAGAATATCATGACGTTTAACAAGTGTTCAATTAACGGTATTGTTTACGGTGATCAGAACGAAATTCACTATGGAAAATCTGACGACGTTCTTAAGGTATAATTTGTTTTTAATTCTGAAAATAACTGTTCACATAAAGTATCGTCTACTGTTACTGTCCGAGCTTTTTGTGTTTGTATATTATTTGTGTTCGTCCGTTAGACGTACGTGGATAAACAGACGCCTTCCGCTGTCATCAGGAGTTACAATAATTCACAATACAACAAAGTAGACCAAGGTGTCAGAAGAGTAACTATAAATTCTACGTTGCACTTGGTATTAATGTCACTACTTAGACTGTGGTAACACATTAAAGAGTTCATTTTTATTAAGCGAGCTGGTGTTTCAAACAGGTTGGACCACCTCCGATAGATTTTTCATGGAATCCTCAATWCGAATCGGACTTCTTGTGGTACGATCAAAGTCTAGTAGACGCCGCTCGGCAACTCAATAACGAAACCGAAAATACAGTGATAACGTTTTTTGAAATATTAGCTTTATGCCATACGGTTATGCCCAGCTGGAAAAACGGTGAGTATTTGAGTCTATGACAAAAAATGGTAAAAATCAAAAAATTAAAAATACAAAAATTAATTGAAAAACATCCCTACCATAAATATTATTAAAAAAATAACCGYTTAATCGCTGTTTTTCTTTTTGTTATTCTTACCAATCACATAGTTTTGTATATAAAATGTTTATGATGATTATTCGTAGTTTTGTGTTTATCTATTAGAAAAATGGGCCAAACGTTTTCCATACCAAAATGGTCATACCGAATTTATCTATTTTTGTTTAATGTTCGTATAGGAATTTTGAAATACCAAGCTCAATCACCCGACGAGTCAGCGCTTGTTTCGGCAGCTAGAAATTTCGGTATCGTTTTCATAGAGAGAACTCCGAACAGCGTGACGATCGAGATCAAGGGCGAAATCAAAGTGTATGAACTTTTATGTATTTTAGATTTCAACAACACCAGGCGTCGCATGTCCGTAGTATTCAGRGAAAACAATAAAATACGGCTCTACTGTAAAGGGGCCGACAGTGTGATATTCAACCGCCTGGAACCGGGAAATGACGAATACAAGGCCACGGCCTTGCAACATTTGAATGTGAGTAATATAATTGTAGTACGATGGCTTTTGTAAACGTYGTCACGGCAACGACAGCGTGTTGGTAGGATTTTGCAGGTGACGGACTACGTACGCTTTGCTGCGCAGTCAGAGATATCGACGATGAATTTTTTGATTCGTGGAAACACAAATACATGGCTGCTGCTGCGGCTCGGACTGACAGAGAGGAAAAGTTAGACAATGTCTACGACGAAATAGAAACCCATCTGAGATTAATCGGTAAAAAAAACATAAAAATTAAAACGTATAAGTACGTCGGCCGAGCATCGTTTTGAAATGTATCCGACTCATTCATCGTCAACTGTAGGTATCACCGCTATCGAAGACAAGTTACAAGATGCCGTCCCTAAGACTATATCTAACTTACTAATGGCGGGGATGTATATTTGGATGCTCACTGGAGACAAACAAGGTACGTGGACCAACAAACGATTAAAAGATTTATAAATATAATTTAAATTRATGCATAATAATATCATATCACTAAGACACGTTGCATATATGATATATGTATAGTGTATACATAAACATAGAATATACAAATGTTATTTGAAATTATCGGTTAAATAATTATGTGTTGTCCGTTTCAGAAACTGCCATAAATATTGGATACTCTTGTCAATTACTAAACGATGAAATGGAATTATGGATAGTTGATGGCAACACACAAGACCAAGTAGAATATCAGCTCGACCAGTGTAACAATTCGCTTTTGGGCGTTTCAGAAATACATCGATCGGAAAGAAATAGTATGGCTACGAGTGTCGTACGATTTAGGTTTGTATCTCATTTGTAGTACCTAAAATTATGCGAGAAAAAATTAAGTTTTTGCGATTTTAAAATGAATACATTTATTCATGATAGCGAACCCGATGATGTCGAATTGAAAGACAACGAAGAGCGTTTGTACGCTTTAGTCATCAATGGCCATTCATTAGTTCATGCATTACACACTGAGCTCGAGTACAAATTTGTGGAGATATGCACAAAGTGTAAGCACCTAAATTGCACATAAGTTTTTCATTACCATCAGGCGGTGACTGCATTGTARTACCTATGCAACTTGAAACACGTATTTCTTAGGTAAAGCGGTAATTTGCTGTCGAGTAACACCTCTTCAAAAAGCAATGGTTGTGCAGCTCATTAAAAAATACAAGAAAGCTGTAACGTTGGCAATCGGCGATGGCGCTAACGACGTATCAATGATAAAAGAAGCTCACATAGGTGTGGGAATCACYGGCCAGGAAGGAAATCAGGCGACACTGGCATCCGACTATTCCCTAGGACAGTTTCGGTTCTTGGAGAGGTTACTTCTGGTCCACGGCAGGTGGTCGTACTATAGAATGTGCAAATTCTTGCGTTACTTTTTCTACAAGAACGTGGCATTTACCCTTTGTCATATTTGGTTCGGATTCTTTTGCGGTTTCAGTGCTCAAGTATTTTTTATCGAAAAAAAATAAACGCTAATCGCCGTACGGTTATTTATTATTTTTGTTTTTCTTGCAGACAATTTTTGATCCGTTTTATATATCTGTCTATAATATGTTCTACACCGCACTGCCRGTATTAGCAATCGGGGCTTTAGACCAGGACGTCAACGATTCAAAAAGTATCATGTACCCAAAACTCTACACGCCGGGAATTCAAAATATGTTTTTTAACACTAAAGAGTTCTTTAAGTGCGCTGCTCTGGGAACGTACGCTTCGCTAGTGATATTTTTTGTACCTTATGGTATTTACATTATCTTCTTATGAATGAGACTCGTAGGTAGCATTTTAATTTTAACAAAATAATRTTTTTTAGGTGCATATTTTTATGGGATGACTTCGAGCGGATTGAATGTTTTAGATCATATGTATATGGCAGAAGTCGTTGCAATGATTCTGGTCACTGTCATGACCGTACAGGTAAATCATTTTAACAATATTTAAGTAAAAACAGTCGGCCGTGTATAATTACATTCGATAGTTAATATTATGTAGGTAGCTTTTGACACATCATACTGGACTGTAATCAACCATACAGTTATCTGGGGATCTTTGGCATTATTCTTTATTGCTGAATGGGTTTATAACTATCTCATTGGAGGTATTTACGTAGGATCTTTGGCAATGGTAAGTGCCACATTTGATTTGTGGTTAATTATTATATATTTCCAATACTTTATGTATCMCCATTGATTATAAATACTAGTATTTATAATCAATGGTATCACGTAAAAGTTTCATTRTGTATGTGGGCTACATTAGGCAATGCAACAACCGACATTTTGGTTGGTTACATTACTCGTTGTGGTTGTGATTGTAAGCCCTGTGGTTGCTTGGCGTCTGTATTTTCTGGAAACAAGACCTACTCTTACCGATAAACTTCGTTTGAAGCAACTGAAACAAACGTAAGCCAAAATATTACCAAATATTATCAAACAGATGATTTATAAGATATTGAAAAATGTAATATTTGTATAGGAAACAAGTATCGGGAACTGGAATGAGATCGATGTCAGTAAAGCACAAACGACGTTCGATTAGGTCAGGGTATGCTTTTGCTCATCAAGAAGGATTTGGGCGACTGATTACAAGTGGAAAAATAATGAGAACGCCAAGGAATAGCGAAACGTTTATTGATCGAAAAAATTCGAATATATCTGATATTACTGTATAACGTTTAAAATACATTTTTTTTCAACTTAATATTATTCTTATAAATAGAAAAGTCTTGATTTTATGGTTCTATTATCATCATATTAAATTTTTCAATTTTCATAAATTATATATGATCATTATTCATTATATAATAACTTTGGTATATAATCTCTTTCAAACTAGTCAACAATTAAATCATATACCAATAATTAAGAATAATTTTATATGATACATTTTTTACCATAATAATATGTGAACATTAAAATCAAACTTCTTAATTTTATTATAACTATGTACTCATACAGTTTGTGTCGTTGTTACCATTATATGTTATTATTGGTATTTTATAAAAAAATAACTATAAAATAAAATTCAACATTTTTGTTTAAATGTTATCCCAATTATTACATCATACTATTATATGGAAAATTGCATTTTGGAATTTATTATGACTATATTATGTCAATTGTATAATTTAAGGTGTTTTTTAGAAGTGTATAATGTTATAATTATTATTTTTATTTTAATCAAAATATGAGTCATTAAAGTGTTTAMAATTTCAGTAAATAGGCAGCGATTATTTTATTTTAGTTCCATAAATTGATCAAAATGTTGACAGTGAACAACGKAAAAAAAATCCMCGGCATATTTTATATACAAGACGTAATAGAAATACATTTAATATTGTATATTATTTTAAAAATTGTTATTTTATAAAAAATTGCCTTTTACCCTATTATATTACATGTAAAAAAATGCATGCATGTAGTATACATGTGGTTATAATAACGTACATTTCCCCACCCTCACCCATTACACATTTTCAAATTTTTAAACTCTTATATTTAGTGCTTAACTACTGCCAAATCCTGACACCATTCCCGGAATTCCTGCTCTACTTCAGGTGGGTTACCCTGGCACCCCTATGTTCGAATTTCTCATTTTTTTTTT